AAAAAAAAAAAAAAAAATAAAACCACCACTAAACATGCCTGCATGTACTTACATTACTTTTGTTTTGGTTGTTGATACATACCCCTTTGAGATAAAATCTGGGGAAAGTGTTGTGGACCTTAGGAAACTATACCTTTACTTAACAGTTCTGTATTTTATTTCAGGGGACATTGAGCTCTCTGAATATTATCCCAGCATCTCTGGATAAAAATCTGTATTCTAGTCTGAACTGTGGGAAGAAAGGATTGTTGGTAAGTCTTTGGCAAAACTTGTGCTGGATTTTGTTTAGTAGTTTTGAATTTGTGAACATACTGGATTTATTGGGCAGTGCCAAGTTGAAAGGCAAGTAAGCCAAGCTCCAAGTGTTACGTTCTGCTAGTTTGGCAGCTCACATCAAGCGTACTGTGAGATCATGCATGGTTTGACTTGTCATTGAAAAAGTTCTGTTGAAACATGAATTAACTAGCCTGTTAAAAAATAAGTATAGACGTAGTAAGTATGCCTAGATTTCAGCAACTTTCTCCTTGCTTGAATTTATGTTTAAACTTTTTTCCCCTCCCAGAAGGGATTCCTGTGCTCTCTAATTGCCTTTTTTATTTTTAGTTTCTTTCATAGCTTACTTTTTAGGACTTATGATGCTTAATGTTAAATTGGATACAAAGAAGTATGTGAAACCCCGTGGCAGGGGCTGGTTTTAGGGCTGGAGGCGACTGGAGAGTGTCACTAGAACTCTGAAAGTATATACAAATATTTGGGAGTACATGCAGGCATGTTTAGTGGTGGTTTTATTGCTAACATTCATACAAGTAACTTACTGTTGTTTGATGCTCTCTAGTTTCCAATTACTTTTTTCTCCTTTAAATAGCTTATCCTTGGGGATAAGTTTCATCGATTTATTATAAACTTTTGGGATAAGTTTCATAGAAACAACCATCCTAGCCGAATAGGTGTTTCTTTTGGAAATTGCTTTTGGAAATTTGGAAATTTTTAAGAAGATATTTTTATGTTTCTATGCTTTTTTGTTGAACTTGTTGCTAAAGTTCTTTTTTTTTT